GAATCTTTAGAGAATAATACTAAACTAGAAAAAGTATTTAAATTTTCACCTTAAAAAATGATGAGTTATGTTCAAATTGATAGATCATGATGCTCTACCCTAGTGTGGATTAACTCTACAGAGCCGCTCTCCAGGGTCAGTTGCAGCACATCTCATTTGCCCCCAGCTCCCAAGTAGAGTGTCCTGCTGTTGTCCTGAGCAGTGTCTGGTCCCAGTGGAGACAGGAATTGAAAGGCAATGCAGCCTAGTGAAAGGAGCACTGGCTCTTGAGTCTGACATACCTGGATTTTAAGTTCACTTACAGCATCTGTTGTGATTCCAGGCAATTGACTTTTTTTTTTAACTTTTCTGCTTCCTCATTAATGGTATCACTGATACCTTATAATAGGGCTATTGCCAGGATTAAAAACAATATATGTGAAAACACATAGGAAGCACCCAATAAACAATATCCAGATATCTGGCCTCTCAAGATCAAGGCAACGTAATGAAGTATCTGGCTTCATAGAAGCTTCAAAGTTTCCCTTTCTCTCCAGGAAGGAAAAGGAATGTTTTCCCTTCATGTTTCTAGTTATTCCTTAACTCCTTGCATTTTCCTTTGTCAATTTTAGTCATCAGTTATAGTCTAAGCATTTACACAGTTATTTCTTTGACCAATAATTATGTAATACAAGCGTATATTATTTTCAGTTAAGTCAGTGTCTGAAAAACATCATAATTAAATCTAACCTAATCCTGATGTGATTTATTTAAATACATTGAACTTTTATACTGAATCCCAACATTATTTCATGAAGTAGCTGTAGGGGCAGGATTGACACAGGGCAGGTTTTCTGATCCAGCAGACCCGGTAAAGGAGGAGTCAGTCCTCAGTGGCTTTTGCAGGTTTTTTATTTAGATTTACCAGGCACATGGGAGGCAGGGGTGCTGGGGGCCCAGGAGGCTGGCAGTCCTCCCAGCCCCCAGCAAGTCTTCACTCTCTCTGGGCTCTCTGGCCTTCTCTGGTGGTCTCGTATCTCTGCTCTTCCATTCGTTCTGCTTCTCTCTCGGCTTCTTCTGGCATCCCCATGACACCGCCCTTAAAAGCACAGTCTTAGCCCAGGTGAATCCCATCTACCTATGCCCACACCCTACTCCAGGTGCCCACCATCAGCCATGCATTCAGGACGGCAGAGTTCCATCATCTATCCTAATGGCGGGAGGGCAGAAAAACCTGATACTTTTTACCTTACCTTACAGTAGCTTAAATCTCTGCTTTCTCTTTTCTTATTTCATATATATCAAATAGGTATTTGAGATATATATTGAATATATTTAATCAAAGATTAACACACCAAAATCATTAAACTATCAAGGGTAGAGCCATTTTTATAGTTTACCTGAAAGAATTGCCGTTTTAGGGATGGGTATAGGAGTAGTACATCTAATGTCCTCTTTAATTGAGGGAAGAAATTGTAAAAGACAGACCAATCTCTGGGAGTGATTTTTATATGTATAATAGGCAATCAGGGCTAACAATCACTCTGGAATAACATACATGTCTATACTGGCAATTAGAAGGAGATGAATAGGCTCCATTAGTATGTTTCTGCTTATATAATCTTGATTCTTGTCAAGTAAGAAGCTTTCAGAATTTTTATTGGTTTTTCTGAACTACCTGGTTGAACTCTAGAGAGTAAACAGGATCCCAAGGTTTAAAAAAAAAATACTTATTTCCTTTAAAAAAATCTTTCTTACATTCTCTGTTATTTTAGATTTATCTCTGTCTTTGTGTAGACATAGACTAAGCTCTTAAAGAACCGTTTCACGTTTTCTTTTCGAATTCTTTCTGTTGCATAGCTGAACGCATCAGCCTGCTTGCTTTAATGACTCCTAAATGAGATTGAAGTCTAGTCATTTTATCTTTACTGAGTGGTGTCTGAGAAAGAAAAATTTAAATTGATTATTGTCTTATTGAATAATTTGATGATACTTTACCACACCCCAGTCCAATAAACTATTGATGAAATGGTAAAACTGAATACTATCTTATGATTCAGTAACTCAGAACCATAAAAAGCTTTTGTCAAGTAACAATATTTAGAAGGACAACTCAATAGGTTAGAGCAGGTAACTGACATGCAAATATCTATCACATTTTATTAAGCAAATTAAAAATAGATTTAATCTTTAATATGTCTCTACATAATAAAATTTACTGGATTCATTGTTGATTATATGCTTAGATTGGCTAATTACTTAAGGCAGATGCTTAGTGCATATTAATTTGGGTTCCATGTCAATTACAACTATCTTTGGTTCAAAATCTAGCCTCCGCTTAGCACAACTGAGAAACAGTAAGGATATTCACTTGAAATGTAACTGCAAGCACTTCTGTAGGGAACTGCATAGTATGGTGGGAACCTTCCTGTGCTGTGGCGGTGAGCCCCCGTTCAGAGGTTCAGCATACCACTAACCTTGGGTCAGTAATTTCCTTCTCATAATCATACTAAGACTATCTGCTGCATAGAAATATCATGTGAAGCTGGGGAGCAAAACAAAAACTGCTACCAGTGAACTACCACCAGGAAAGTAGCACATTAATAACAAATGTTAAAAGGTAAAGTGCTAATAAATGGATTAAACACGTTAGGGAATTAAAAAGTCTGACCATCCTATGTGTTGGTTTAGAGCAATTAAAATTCTCATGCGTTGCTGATGGGGGTGTAAAATGCTACAAGCACTTTTGAAGTCATTTGGTACTTTTTATAAGTTAAATATGCATTCATAGTATGACCCAGTAATTTCCACAATTCTATTCCTAGATATCTACAGAAGAGAAATTAAAACACAGGTACACACAAATACTTGTACATAAATGTTTGTAATAGCTTTGTTTGTAATTGTTCAAAACTAGAAATAACCTACATGTTGGCTAAACAATCTGTGACATATAGATATATGCAATAAAAATATATTCTATAAATATATATAAACTATTCAGCAATAAAAGTAATGATATTAATACATGCAACAAAATGGATGAATCTCAAAAATATATGAGTACAAAAAAACAGTCAACTTAACAGAATACATGCCATAAGATTCTAGAATTATGCCAAATGAGTCCACTGTGACAGAAAGCAGAGCAGTGGTTATCTGGGGCTAGGAGTTGGGAGGAAATTGATAGCAAAGGGGATTCAGGAACTTTGTAGAATGATGACGTTTCCATATCTTGATTATGATGGTGGTTTCACAGATGTATATGTTTAACAAAACTCATTAAACTGTATGCTTGTAATGGGTGTATTCTGCTATATATAAATTATATTTTAATAATGTTGCATAAAAAAATGAACAAACACACACGTGCGCACACACACACACACGTTGGGAAAGCAGTGACAATGGTGAAGTTGAAGCCTCCCAGCCTGCCTCTTAAACTCTGGCAAGTAATGGAAGATGGGTGCCTGTTCTGGAAGTGGCTCTCCTACTGAAGTTCAGGGCCTGACTTGTTTCTATCTCAGGCTAAATTCTTATAAAAAGAAACTTTGCTACAGAGTGTAATGATGCCTATGAAAGTATTTTATAAACCAGAAAGCACTATATACAAACAGCAAAGGTAGAGACTCTCAGGGTTCATGGTTGCCCTGTGTCTATTTTTTAGGGGGTCAACATGCAAAACAAAAGAAGGCCCTGCCAGGCCTCCAAGTAGACCTGGCACATGCAATCAGTCCCTCTCTTCTCTCCTTTCTCTCCTCAACTGAGCTCCACTCACTTCTTTGAACCTGTCAAGGAGTCAGGAACAAATGAACATAAAGAAAGTCCTCCTTAAAGCACACAAAATTTTACAAATTGTTCTTACTTGTGACATTTTGACTAAATTTAAAGCCAGGGTCACACTTCATGTCCCAAACCAGCTATTCCACCCCTGCCAAAGTAAGTAACACAGGGCAGGAGAGCCCTCAGCACGCTACTGGCACTAAGTAAGAAAGGTGACAAGCAAGAGCTACAGATATGACATGGATACTTTTGCCCTGACTCCCCAACATCTCTCTTTTCTCAGGATAGCATATGACATATTTCTCAAGACCACAGTAATTGACCTAGACCCTCTAGATTAGAAGAGCAGAAAGTTCCCATATACACTCAGCCAAAAAAATAGGTTACATAAGTCAGAATGGTCAGGCATAGCCATATCTTTAAGGCTGCATGTTGCATTCTGAGTTGACTGTAAGTGTTGTATCTTACCCGTGTGTATTTGCAAAGTCTGTCAAATGCACTATATCAGTGGGGAGAAAGAGTACAGCCACAAGCCATGGTTGAGAAATGTAGAAAATTGGGTGTTCCAGCAAACCAAGTAGGGAATTAATAATATATTTAGAATTACTAATAAAATATCTGTCAAGCAAGTAGCTACATGTTATCTCCAAAACGTCCTACCTGCTGTGTAGGGTATAGGGTAAGGAAAAATGTCAGGCTTTTCTGCCCTCCTGCCATCAGGATAGATGATGGATCCTTGCGGTCCTGAATGCATGCCTGATGGCGGGCACCTGGAGTAGGGTGTGGGCAGAGGTAGATGGGATTCACCTGGGCTAAGACTGTGCTTTAGAGGAAGGCGTCACGGGGACGCCAGCAGCAGCAGAAGCCAAAAGAGAAGTTGAGAAAGAAGCAGCAGAAGCTGAGAGAAGGCCGGAGAGCCCAGATAGAATGAAGACTTGCTGGGGGCTGGGAGGCCTGCCAGCCTCCCGGCCCCCCAGCACCCTTACCTGCTGTGTACCGGGTAAATCCCAATAAAAAGACCTGCAAAAGCCACTAAGGACTCTGATTCCTCCTTTACCCGGTCTGCTGGATCAGAAAACCTGCACTGTGGTCCATTCCTGCCTTTACAAGGGTGTATATGCTTCCTGAGAAGTACAGAGTCTTCGAAATAAAATTTCAACCCCAGATGAAACTTCTATTTCCTGGCATTTCCCCCTTAATTTCTCATTCATTTGTGTATTTTTACATCCCCCATGTAGCTCCACCAACCCTCCCAGACGTCAGTGGGTCAAGCAGCCTCCCAAGGCAACCTTCTGCACCTGGCCCACAGCCAAGCATCCATGTCTCAAAGCCCCATCCGGCAGCCTTCCTCCTCCTCCTCCTCCTCCTCCTCTTCTTCAGCTCTGAGTGTGGGCCAGTTAGTCAGCAGTAAGTATCCTTTCTGGCTCGGTTAATCATAGTGGCCTTGTTGTTGCCTGTTCGCAATTCTCTCTCTCTCTCTCTCTCTCTCTCTCTCTCTGTTTCTCTCTCTCTCTCCACCCCCATCTCTCTCACTCTCAACCCCCCCCAACTCTATCTTTCTCTCCCCCCTCCCAGTCTCCCTCCTCTCTCTCTCTTTTATTCTCTCAATTTCTAAGAGGAATATCCTGGCCCTAGGAGGCCAATATTGGGGTGACGTTCATGCCCAGGACCAAACTATTCCCTGGGAAAGCGTGCCTTCTTGATGAGTGTGGGCAGAGGCTGGTTTCCATCTCAAGTGCTTTCTGGTGTGCTGAGTCAGTGCTGCCACTTCAGGAGGGAGAAGCTGATCAGCTTGCAGGGCATGAGCCACGAGCTGGGAACTGAAATAACCAACAACAGGCACACAGCCGGTAGGTCAAGCTGCTTTTCTGTGTGTTTGAAGTCCCCTGCAGTTCTATTTGTAGGTGTCAGAGGAAATAAAAGCAAGTGTGCCTGTGGGCGGGTGGGTGTGTATATAAAATGAACTGCCTCCAGTGGCATGTGGGGGAGGTGGCATGGGCTAGACTCCAATGGGAAATCTCTGAGCAACCATTCATAAAACAAACCTGCAAGTGTGCTTCCCTGAGTAGGCCATACATATATAATTTTAAGAAATGGCATCTGGCCCTAGGTAAAGATGGAGTATTTGTCACATGCAAATAGAAACATATTAAGATGAATGAGACAATGGGTTTATTTAATGTTGGTAATAGAAAATCAATAAAATTTGATTAAAAAGTAATAATGTTAGTTACTCTCCTTTAGTGCAATTTTCACTCATATATAAAATCACAGACCATGTACATAAATTGTAATTCTCCTGGGACCAAAAATCCAGTAGTTATGGGTTTAAAGGGCTAAAACACTGCATAGGCATCTGTGCCATAGAACAAGGATACATGTGAAGTATGTTATGTTTGATCCAGTATCATTAAGACCTGCTAAAGCAGGGATAGGAGGGAATCCTCCTATATCATGGGCAAATCTGGTCATACAAAACAAAAAGGATTGGCCTATAATTCCCACTGAGAACCTTCCCCCCCAAAAAATATATGCATATACATGTTGTTTAGTTTTATATATATATACACACGTATGTACATATATATAATTATACATAAATATATAAATATATGTATATACCTACATGGATATACTCAATTATAAGGATAATTCAGGCAAGAGAGATGTTTGTGGAGTAGAGAAAAGAAGAAGGGATTAATACCATATTAAAATTCTCAAGTACTTCCATGGACTAGACTAGATGCTCTTGCTCTTAAAAATGAGCCAACACTGAGCCTCCCCGGTGGTGCAGCAGGTTAAGCACAGCTCTGTGAAGCTGTCCGCAGTCCCTGCAGTGCAGGTTGAATCCCCACCAGCCAGGGAGACTCCCACATGGCAGGGCAGACCTCTCCTCTCTCACCAGCTGCTCCCCTCAGCAGTGTTTTCGGTCTGTCTGCCTGTTCTGTTCCCCACTCTGCCTCTGGTGAATCCTCTCACCCTCGGCACCTCTGCCCTGTACCCCAGCTCTTGTATAAATAAAAAATAAATCTTTAAAAAAAAAAATGAGCCAACACCAAATAGAGATTCAGAAGTCACATGGCGTTTGTGATCAACTTGTTATTTTCAGAGTGTTCTGACACAGAAACTTTAGTCATACTTGGACCAGAAACTTTAGTCATACTTGAATAAAATCAGGGATAAATAAACTTCATTTTACCCAGCCTATCCCCATTAAAGAAACTCTTGATAGGGCTCCTGTGCGAAAAGATTGAAACTTTGTTCCAATTCTATCTTCCACACAAGTTTCTGCAAAATTCTCTGTTTCTAAATAGCAGAAAGATCATAAATTTGGGGTAGGCTTTTTTAAGTTTTGGTCCTAAAAGAAAAGTTACTGAGCTCAATTATTTTACATTAAAAAATCAATTAAATATGAAATAAAATTACAAACCACCCCATAAATACAATATTTTACAGATGGGAGACACTCAAAACATGTTAGATGGATAGAGAGACAGAGGAGTGGATGGACAGGGGACAGATGGATGGATGAGACTAGCTTCTCTCTAATCACTATCTCAAGCTGGGTGGGGAAAGATTAGCCTTTTTCAGAAATCAGTGACAGAACAGCTTAATGGGCCAGGTTGAATTTCAATTGCACAGTGGCCAATGGGACATTGAAGTTCTAGGTATTTCGTGAGTGAACTATATTATGTAATGTTAATATGTACAGAATTGAGGGAGACCCCTTTACCACGTGCTCTTAAAGCAGGAAACTCCAAAGTCACAGTAGAGGCTGACTGAGGAGCCTTCCCCGGGAAGAAGAGGGTGGAGAGCACAGCAGGGGACAGAGTTTACACAAGTCCACTGCTGGACTCAACAGTTGCTTACTAGTTCTGTGTAAGTCATTGAGTTAATGCCATTCCATCTTCAAATTTGAGAACGGAGTGAATATGTATCTAGAAATGCATGGCATATTTTCTGATGATGATTACCACCCACGTACCTTAGTTTCAGCCTTCACTTGTAAAGTACGATTTTTAAAGCACTTTCAATATTTTGCTCATTTTAATATTTATAGCTAAGTACTAAAAATCCTCATTTCAGATAGTTATAAGTTGATATTAAATTGATCCTAGAAAGCACAACCCATCTTGAGTGTCTTTGGTCAGAGGGACCAGGTGGAGATGAGACTAGTAACTGACAACTGTGGGACCAACCTGACAGGTGAAAAGCCAGGATGACAATGCAGGCCTGACTCAAGACTGAGGCATCCACATGCCTCTCCTGCCAGCAGAGACAGGACGCTTACACATCAATGTTATCCAGTGGAATTTGAATAACAGAATGTATCAAATCACCTAAATATTCTTCAGATAATTTTTGAAAGTTAATGCACATGCCATAAAAATAAAGTATAGGCTTTTTTCCCCCTGAGCCAATATAAAGAAAAAATGTAAACATCCTGCATATTTTAAAATTTATATTCAAGCATGAAATGTGCATTTTAAAATTATCTTTTCTGAGATTAACTTGCACCAAATCTGAGACCTGAGTCCATATTTCAGATGTGGTTGTTACGTGGTTAATGCAGGTAAAATAACAGGGAGGAAAAATGAGTATTTTGGTTAGAAGCTGTCAATTTAAAAGTAAAAAACACTTAATGAGTGCCATGTATGTGCCAAGCTCAGGGGCTAGAAATTAAGAAAGCAAAAATAAGCAAGATGTTGTCCCTGCTCTGGGGAACATCACGAGCTGGTAGCAAAGCTACGAGAGAAATTCTGTGATCAACATGTGACTCAGGATTATGGCAATTTAATGGATAGTTATCTCAGTTTTAGAGTTTGAAACAGAATAGAAGGACTTGACAGAGTAAATAATCCTTGGATTGAGTTGGATAGTTAATGGAGCAACAGGTGTCACCAACAACTCAAGACTGGTGTATTTGAATAAGGTCAAACTGGACTTGAACTTCTGGTCAAAACCTTATCGGGCCCTCCCTGGTGGCACAGGCCATTGAGCGAGCACAGCGCTGTGAAACTGTCTGTAGCCTCTACAGCACAGGTTCGATTCCCCAGCTGGCCAGGGAGGTACCCACATGGCGTGGCAGGCTCCTCCTGTCTCACCCACTGCTCCCCTCCCCAGTGTATTTCAGCCAATCTGCCTGTTCTGTTCCCCGCTCTGTCTCTAGTGAACCCTCTCACCCTCCCACACATCTGGCCTGTACCCCGGTTCTTGTATGTATAAATAAATAAATCTTTAAAAACAAACAACCTTGTTCAATGTACCCTCCTACGTCATGATCAAAGACTCTCACCCTAGCCTTAGGCAACGTGCCATTGTTTCAGATAAACTAGAGTAGGTGGGTTATCCAGAAATGCTTTCCCCCACCCCTGTTCCAAACAACACAGAGTTAAGGAAGAGTTAATACCTTAGTGATAACAGATTTTTTTTGCGTGCCAGAACACCACAACTGGACTCAAAATTACCAAACATGCACTCTTGTTAGAATATATGCACAATACCTGTTCATAGCAACTACAAAGCTTACCCTGTTTAAACTTGCTCAGTCTCCATAGTCATCAAGGATAGATATAGTTTCTATAATCAGGGACTCTGAAAAGTCTGGAAGTCAAACAGATGACTTGACAAATGCACCAACTAGGCTAAGATTTATAGAGTATTATTTAAAAATGGGTAGATTTGGGATTTTTTATTGTTCGCTGGCCTTGGTTTGGTTTACTTTTTCAGTACACTTTCATTTAAAACCCTGGCCTCTAAGTTTGTTTCTTAGATAGCAAAGGACTGATAGTTAATACCAGAAAAAACAAAACTATAAACTGAACATAAAGCTGCTTACAATACAGTGAAACTTCTGATTCACATCATCACAATTCACACCATTGTCCACAAGCCAGCGAAGTCACCATATTGCAAGTAAGCTGTTCTCCAAATTGCATTGCACGTTCCCAAATGGTTTCTTATTTGTGCGAAATATTTGGTAAATATGTCCATTATTTGCTGTGAGAATGGTACTAAAAAGCAGATGGATGTTTACATAAGGCAGTTAATTCACACTTGGCAGCTTCTTTAAAGACACATATTTCTCCAATAACAGTCCCACAAGCAGAGGTTATAGAAGGATGATGTTGATAGATGATGACTATTCCACAACCCTTTACAATGATGCCCAGGTTAACAGTTGGAAGAAGAAAATTTAAAAATAAAACAAAACATCTGTCCTGGTCCATCCTGAGCACTCAGTTCAGTATGGGCCCAGAGCCCACACAACCACATTCTACAGAACAGGTTTGTTTTTACACGACGTGCATTTAGCTCTCATAAAAAAAAAAAAAATCTACATTTCAACCCATGCATTCCAGATTTTATTTGGAAAACATCATCATTGTATTTATGAGTCACTGCCAATTTTCAGTGCCAGTCTTTTGTAAATCACCAGGCTAGTTACTCCTTTTATAGTTGATCCTCTGGCTTCTTAGCACAGGTCAGATCAGGGTGGACCTGGGTGGTCATTGCTATTGCTTACTGAGCCTGTATTTAATACACTGTACTGCCCTTCTCTAAAGGTGCCGCTTCCTCCTCAGTGCAGAGGAACCAGACCGAGTTGCCCTGGAGAAGGCTGAAGGTGCTGATCCACCTTGTGGGGGATCTGAGGGCTACCTCTGAGATCTCCATCGAAGTGGCTTCAGATTCATCCTTAAAATTTACCAACTTCCACAGCAGCAGGAAAGCAGATGACAAAAAGCCATACTGACTTATCCCAGGGTAGAATGTCAACCTCTGAGCCAGGCTGGGAACTAAAGTGACACTCCAGGAAAGTGTCCATTTACCACATTTACCTCTTATCTTCCCGTCCCCACTCATAAAAGCATATATCCCTTAAAGAAGGGGAACTGTTCCGACTCCGTGAATAACCTCAAGAGTGTAAGACAAAGCACTGAGATGAAAAAATAGCACTTTTTTATTATTAATGCAAAGCACCTTATAGACACTGTCTGATGAATTCTCCCAATGTGTGAAGACAAGTTCCACACGTAATCAGGGTAAAACTAATATTTGTCCAAGGGTGAGCCCTTCTTTGGATGGAAGGTTTTTGTAGTCTTAGAAGCCATGAAGCAAAAGCATCATAATAGAGCTTGCCATCTGATTTTTATGGATAAGAACACTTATATAAAGAGAGCCTAGCAACTTACCTCCAGCAATCAACAAATTGCACAGAGAAATACTGATTTCCCCTTTTGACTCTTTGTCCAATAGACCATCACCCTGTTTATATTTCACAAGAATTCCTATCTTACCAGCTCTTTAACTAAAACCAGGAAAAAGACAAGGGTGGGAAATGTGTGAAAGGAAGAATTCAGCTTCCTGATATAATGAAAGCTTGAGGGAGGCCTCTTGGAAGCTTCTGACTCAAAGGGACAATCGCCCACCTCTCTGAGCTTTAGAGTAAGAGTTGTGGTAACTCTCACAGAAGACTGCTCAGTGCATGGGGGTATGAGTCCACAGCTTTCTTCTTCAACTCTGGTTATTTTTAGTGATCTGGCCCAAAGCAACCTTCACAATCACAGATACACACATACACAGACACACACACACACTTCACTTCTGATCTCAAAGAACTAGTAAGGAGACAGATACAATAAAAGCAGCAGGGGAAAGGAAGAAACTAGAACAGATTTACATAAAATGGCAACACAAGTCATAAACCTGCTAAATCTGGTGACAGCACTCGTCCTAGACTGGGTACAGATATTCTTTCAAATAAGAGACCCACCCTTCATGTGCTGGTTAGCTCTACAGATTAACTTCCCACAGAGGCTACTTAACTTTACTCAGAAAAAAAATCTTCCCCCCCATCCCCAGACTATGCTGGCTACCCGGTCCACCAACACCCAAATATTTGTCTCTTGCTCTGTGGTGGGGCTGGGAGTGGAGGAAGGTCAAGTATAAGTAACCCACTCCTGGAGCTTTTCCAGTTTTACTCAGGTTGCAGAGCAAGTTTTCCAAGTAGTGAAACCTGGTGAAAAAAAAAATCATTGTGAAGGGTCCAGGGAAGACCGTGGCATGCAGAGGATGCCATACCCAGAATCAATCAGACGGGAGTCACAGAGAACTCCACTGATATCAGGGACACCGGATCCCCCGCATCAGAATCGCCTGTGGTACTTACTAAAAATGCATGCCCCTGGGTCCCACCAGGTCACTCTTACACCCACAGAATTAAGAAAATCATCACCGTATTGTTACAGAGGATGTCTCCAGCTTCCACTTTTTACCCTCAATTTTGAACCTCCACCACCAATGTTTGCAAGTCTGCGAAGACCCTCTTCTTCTTCACTCTTCCCTGAGGGAGAGAGGCCAGGCCTTCCGCCAACTGTGTCATTCTGTCCCTCTGCTCCAAACAAGGGTCACCTCAATTATTTTAACACTGCCTCAATTATTTTAACACTTCCTCCCAACCCCTGTCCACGAAGGCTATTTCAGGATTTTTTATCCTAGTTTTAGTCCTTCACCTTCGATATGTTAATACAACTGATATACTTATTCTACATGTGTTCTGTTTACATGTGGGGCCCATTAGGGAACCAAAACCATTGTACTATCTAAGCCTTATCCACCTTCCCCACCAGCGCTCCAGAGCCAATTTTTCATCCTTGGGAATGCATACTCTAAATATTTGGTCACGAAACAGACTGAGCATGGCACTAGTCTGAGGAGGGCTAGAGCTGAGGATGATGGGAAGCAGAAGGGGCACCCAGAGTTAGTTCCAGTTGATCAATTGTCCCCAAGTGCAAATGTATACTTGGGACAAGCTGTCTAACATAATCCTGAATTTTTCCTTGAAATCTCCCAGTGTTTAAATGTTGGCAAGTAATTCAAAAATTGTGTAAGTAGCAGAAAACCTGAGTTTTATTTGCATGTTGATCATCTGCAAATTTCAGTCAAGGAATTTTTTTAAAGAAACGGGAGAAGGGTTCAAAGCTGCTGTGTGGATGGATATACCCCCGGTATCTTTAACTCCCTTGAAGCTGCTCCAGGCTGCAGGGCTGGTGGGATTTAAGATCTGGAGGACAGCCTCCATGAGAGACCATCTAAAAAAGTCTCTTCTTAACCAAATGATCAGCCTTTTGGGGAGAATTTTAGGAGAAAGGTAGGATTTTAATTAATCTTAACAATCAAACCAGTTTAATAGTCATGCTCTGCTCTTGCCCACCAACAATTTTTCAAGGTGCAGCATTGAAATATTCACCATCCCCAACACCATCCCCCATTCCACCCTACCAAAGCCCTTGCAGCCCCCACAGTGCTCTGTTCCTCCTGCGTTAGTACCTGTCTGATCAGAACATGACCACTTGTTCTCTGAAGCTGCCCACAGAGTAAAATCCAGAGGAATTGGCTCCTGTCACTTCCCCTGTCTCTGTAAATCCTTTGTGGCTGTCATACTACTAGTTTTTGACTACAATCTGCCTGGTATTTTTCTCTAATTGTTTCTCATGCAGTCTTGAACCCCGATCCCTTACAGACCATAAACTCCATAGAAGCTACAACTGCCTCTATTTCTTTTGCCCCCTCTCTCCTTTCATTAGATCTCCCAGGAGTCACTTAAGAAATACCTGTAGACTAATTGCAATGGTTATATCACCTCTCAATATTACCACACAAAATTATGACTAATAACATAAAAATTCTACAGAACTTTTTTTTAGATGTAAACATAAAAGTGCAGTGTGCACACCTGTATTTTAGATCCTGTTTACAAAGTCCATTTCCCCTTTAATGAGAGACTCTATACACGAAGCTCCAAGTCCTCCCCAAATATTGACATCGTCATTTAAAATATCTTGGAAGTTTTCATCATAAACAAAATAATTCTGTAACTATGTATGGTTTACGAATGTAAAGTAGACATATTACTTATTACATTACTTATATAATATAAACATTTACAAATATTGCGAAAATAATATAATGTTGCTGTCAGTTGTACCTCAATTAAAATAAATGTTTAAAAGGAAGAAAATTAAAAAACCAGAAGTCCTTGAAAAATTGGCCTTGGGATGCAAATGATTATTTCATTTCCTGTTAACAGTAGTTTTACAGTCTTAAGTTCAGAACAGTAATATAGTCCAACACAGTAATATAGTCCAATATAAGGACTCAAATTTACTGAAATTGATGGGTGATTGTACACAAGAGGAAGAGAAAACTTTTCACCTAAGTCTGAGGTGAAGAACAATGGAGTCAGCCCCCAGGGAGAATGACTTCACTACAGGCAAGATCCAGGAATATTTTGAAATCTTCCACCATCCCAACCCATGCTGTCTCCAGCTTGGTGTGCACTTTCATTTATCCAGGGATCAGTAGCCAGGGTGGGGAGAAGTTTCATTCTCCAGCTGTTGTGTCATTTCCCTTGATAAGTCCTAAATTGACCGCGTTATCCGGCACCAAAGGAGCCTTCCCGTGGTAAGCATTTTTTATTATGTGCCCTTTGCAGGGACAAAGGCACCTGTGTCAGTAAACTGCTATGGGAGGGGTGTAGGGGAGGAGGGGGCAAGAGACAGTATAATCCTCACAGCTTCATAAGCATGCTCCTCTGAGACACTAATGTGGATATTGAAAAAATAGATAACATTAGCATCTGTTAGCCTGGCTAAAATGGTGATCAGGAGAAGGAAAAACAAAAAACACTGTTTCTTCAAGGGCAATTTTTACCATTAAAGATCCCAGTTAAATGTCATGGTTATGGGATCTCCCCTGCCAGGTAAGTATTTCAAAATGAAAACTTTACGTTATTATACTTTTGCACAATTTTTTAATATATTTATGAGCAAAATGGAGTTGCAGCCCCTTAGCAAGTGCCTTTCTGCACTGACATATTTGTTAAGCCCTAAGGAACATGCTTTTGTATTGTGGAAGGTACAGTGTGAGCCCTCTATGGTTTTCTTGGGGATAGAAAGGTCTCAAAGGATGACTTGTAGAGGTGTAATGAATTGAGGATGGGGGCTTGGTGCCTCACCTGGGGGACAAAGAGAACAGTCTGTAACGTTGGCTTCCGCACCACTCTGCCATTAAAACGCTGCTTTCCTACAAACCGTGATAAACAAATATGATTCAGATGTGTGTTGACGTATTGATCCTATTTTTAAAAACATCTCCACAGATCCTCAAACGGCAGCGGGTGAGGTGGATGGGGTTAATCTGGAGGAGATCCGAGAATTTGCCAAAGCTTTTAAAATCCGGCGCCTGTCCCTTGGTCTGACCCAGACTCAGGTGGGACAGGCTCTCAGTGCTACAGAGGGCCCCGCGTACAGCCAGTCTGCCATCTGCAGGTAACCCGAGCCTGCATGCTGTCACTTCTCCTGGCCGGCCTGGGCCTCCTTTGTTCTCTCAGCTCAGTTGATCGTCTTTGGGTGGGCAAAGCTGGATGGGCAGAGTGTGGGAACAATGTCTGGGGTAGCTGTAAGTTGGAAGTGATGATACTTCTGGAAATGAAGGTGCTAAAGCAGATCTGGGGTCCTGGCTTGGTAACTCCTGTCAACTCACAAAGAACTCCCAAGGCAGTTTCATTGGAAATACACCCCCTGGGGTCAGAGGCTTCCTTCTGGACCTGCCCTCTGATGCAGCCTGCACTGTCCCCTGTTTGCAGATTGGTAACCTGAGCGAATGTAAAGCTGCCAATGCCGACTGGTCCTCGGGCTCCCACTATTTCTGCCTAGGGATGGCTATCAGGATTTTCCAAGAAAACACACATTCAAATAAAGAAAATTAACCATCTCATAACCTTGAAAGAATTTTTTAACTTGCCTTCCCAGAAACACCTTTAAAACACCTTTTTAAAAAGAAGCAGCTGCTTGTCATGGCTCAGAAAGGGTAGCAACCTTGCCCTCTCCCCCTCAAATAAAATGAATAAATGACCAGAATCCAGCCTTGGTTGTGTTCAAGTTGATCTGGGTCAAGCCGCCAGGAGCAGGCCCCACGCATGCATGTGTGTGTGTTGCACTAATCCCATGTTTATGCATGAGGTAACAAAGGCACTTCGGTAAGAGCTTTTTCCTCTTGGGCAATGCCTTATGAGTCCTCCTCCATCAGGAAAACTAAGAAACCAACTCTAAACTCATTTAAGTGGATTTTGTTCTTGGTGATCCATGAAATGCTGTCTTTTTATCTGCTCTTTATACTTTTAATGTATTCCCCAAAGGACGGAAGTGTACTTTTCCTGCAGTTTAAGACTAAGGTTATAAATAACATCAGTATGGGGTAGTGGCTTGCAGCTCACATTTTGCTCAATGATTTTCCATAAAACCCATTGATTGTTGTTAAATACAAAAAGCGCCATAGGATCCTCTCACTTCTATGGCCTCCCCTACTGTTTCTTCTTATAAGATACCTCCCTGTAGAAAATAACCTTTATTCAGTCTATACAAGGATACTACTGCTGGGAAATTTGTTTCAAGGCTTGTATATGTTATTCCAAACAACACGTACAGAAGCATCAACGCTAACAAGCAGCGTCAATGATAGGAATACAGTTGCTCCCCCGTTGTGAAACATTAATTTTGTTTCATCTTGACAGCCTTGTGATAAAGACAGCCACAGGTTTTTAAGATGTTGCCAATTTGCTATTGTTACTAAAGTCCTCTTTGGCTTATTTTTAGTCCAGAAATGTGATTTCCATTTGTTGGTTTAAGTGCTAGCTGATGTTTTCACTAATACAGGTAGTATTTTTTGGGCATTCCCAATCGAATATGTTGATTTCGCAATGCCTTCCCAGGGAAAGCCAAAAAAGCTGTAACTGAGCGAAAACAAATCTTGGGAATTCACTGAATAATAGAACATGTCAGATGCCCTGATTTTTCAGCCTTTCGCTAGCTGCTAGTGTTTCAATGAAGTGCAGAAGGTCTTAAAAGTGACCAAGAACTTACTTGGGAACAATGCAAGTAAATTTCAAGCATGGGAAAAGACTGACAGAACCTGCCCATGTCACTTTCTCCCTTAGCTGTGATGATCCCAGGTGCTGCTGTGACAAGTCCCTCCTCCTCAGAGCTGCATAGGGAAAAACACTAGCAAAACACTGGACATCCCTAGCACAAGATTTGTTCCCTAGCCATGGCTCTGTAAAGCCTGTGATACTATTAAAAATTTAAGTTTAGGGGCTCTTATGGTGAATGATGGTAAAATGTGGTATGTGGCAAATTAACACAGCAGTAAGAGCTTTCAGGAGCTTGGCACAAGTGACAAGCTCAATAAATGACATTAAATGATTAGTTCATTTTGTATTAAAAAGCAAAATGTTCCCCTTAACTGGTACTGGAAGTTGGTTTTCTTATTTTAGTAAAAATAACTCTGAACTATACATGGAAAGGAATGTGATGGAAATCATTAAAATTTAATGCTATTTGCACTGCTTACCACAACATAAGATATCCACAATACAGTGCCTGAAATAGATTATGACACATAAAGGAATTCTAGCCTTATGTGCCTCTTTGTAAACCTTATAAAATATATTCTAACTGACTAAAACAGGTTCATTTTAAATTGATGCACACAGACCACTGTAAGAAGAGGCATTCTGCAATCCGACAGTGGTTTTTCAACAGCACTGAACTTTATACAAGAGAGGGGAATTCTATGTATCAAAGTTATCATACTGGAGGGTTATGAATTTGAATTTAGAATAAACAAACAAATAAAAGGAATTGGTGCTTTTTTTTTATTTCTTGAGAGTGAGTATGAATTTGGTATCAGGATGACCTCTTAAAACACCCTATATAATTTTGTCCAAGATGCTTCATATTTCTTAAAGTCAGTGTAGCAAAGAATTGCTGATGGCAATTGATATATAGAAGACCTCATTTACAGAAAATGATATCATTCAAGTACAGTTTGCAGATATCGCACATTAAACACAGCTTGATGCCCTGGTACAAAAGTACATCATTACACTGGACGGTGTTTGGAAGGCATGAGGTGGCCATAGTGCATCCAGGAGGGGGTGTCCATAGTAATTACAATGTGTCCAGCTGTTTGAGCTCAACATAGACTAGCAAGGGGCTGTGTTTTACCTGAAAGGGGGACATGTTGTTAACTTGCATATGGTGAAAATTGTTTGTTATTGAGAGAGAGGTAGCAAGAGAAAGAGGGGTGAGAGAGATTGAGAGCGAGAGTTTAAAATGAGACACAAATATAGGAAAATAGAGCCATAAAAAACTGGTCCCAGTTGCCATCACTATGATAAAGGTAGAAAATTTTCATAACCAAGTCAATGAGGGGCACGGGGAAGGACGGCGCTGAATTTAAGGAAAACCATATGTAAAACATAAGTAAGAATCGTTTTAAATGAGAAAAACATGACAGCTGTTATCTTTGATGTCACGTTCGGTGGTTCTCTTTGCCTTAAGGATGCTGTAGTTTGGGGGAATGGTGGGGGGCGATTCCAGTCAAAGCTTAGCGCTCCGGAGTTTCCAGGGAAAAGATCTGCGAGCTGTTTTTGTTTCCATCGTGATGGTTTGTGTGTCCTGCTGTCTCCACCTGTCCTCACCCGCATCCGCGTGTGGGTGTGGGGTCTGCATGCGCTGGCATGAGGCATGGCGAGAGGGTGGGCGCTGGCTTGAGGGGGATGGCTACTTTGCAGCTGGCTGTTAACCTGGAGTGAATTCGCTCTGCCAGTCAGTCAGGCAGGCAGGCAGGCAGGAGGCCCACCCTGGCAGAGGACTCAGTGTAAGACTGTTCTTTCTCAATTTTCCCCTCAGACACACCATCCTGAGAAGCCACTTTTTCCTACCACAGGAAGCCCAAGAGAACACTATAGCTAGCAGTCTGACAGCCAAACTGAACCCTGGCCTTTTGTATCCTGCCAGGTTTGAAAAGCTGGACATCACCCCTAAAAGTGCCCAGAAGATCAAGCCGGTGCTTGAGCGGTGGATGGCTGAGGCTGAGGCCCGCCATCGAGCAGGTATGCAGAACCTGACCGAGTTTATCGGGAGTGAACCATCCAAAAAGCGCAAGCGGCGCACCTCCTTCACACCCCAGGCTCTTGAGATCCTCAATGCCCACTTTGAGAAGAACACTCACCCTTCTGGGCAGGAAATGACCGAAATTGCCGAGAAGCTGAACTATGACCGGGAAGTAGTTAGAGTTTGGTTCTGCAATAAGAGGCAAGCCCTGAAGAACACAATTAAACGCTTAAAACAGCACGAGCCGGCCACAGCGGTCCCTCTGGAACCCCTAACGGACTCTCTGGAAGAAAATTCCTAAAGGAAAACCCACCCAAAGTCAGCAGCAAAACCTTAGAAACTAAGCTTCGCCCTTGGGACTCCACCAAAAAAAAAAAAAAAAAAAAATTAATTCAAATATAGCCCCACTTGCCCCCCCTCCCCCTTGTAAGTAAAAGACTACGAAAACTACCAAGTGGGCAGAATGGTTTATACATGTCCCTTGGTTTTCCAAAAATAATTTTTTTTTAATTTTTAAATAAGGAATAGACCCCCACTGCAGGTGCGTGTGGTAGGATAGTTCCCTCCCCCACCTGACTCCCCAAAGCCAGTTTTTTAATGGACTTAAAGCAAACCAAATAACCACATACTTTTTTCTGTACATTACGAAAATGTGAACACATTTTAAAGAAAAAGAAAAACAAAACTAAACCAAAAAACGACAAACAAACAAACAAAAAAAAAATCTTGTATCTGTTCAAAGCGAATACAAGCCTGCCACCTGGAGGAGGGACTGCGTTCTTTCAGGTTCTAAGTGCTGATTCCCTAGAAAACCTATTAACCAAAGTCAGAAACGTGGCATTGCAAACGCGATCGTCGGTCTACTCTTCCTGCGTGTAAAGTTGTGTTATGAGTTTTTACATTTGTACTTAACAGAAAAATAGGAAGCCTGATTTCTCCCATTTTCCCCATCTATTGTCACCACCCATGGGTGCCATTGTTGAAGCCATTCCTCAAGGCTCACCATTGATTCTCTTTTGGGAGAGGGGTTCTCGGTTCCTTTTTCTTTGTTTCGAAGGGGGCATCCTGGATCGTGTGCCAAAGCATTCGTTGCTTTCTTCTCACTACGACTTGTGGGTTTAAGAAAAGAAAATGGATCTCGCATTTCTCTTTTTTCCTCCATTTCTCCATCTCCCTCATGCGTGGCCTCTGGGGTCTGCTGGATGGCCAGAGTGGGAACAGTGTCTTTTCCACTCAGATCCCAGTGAAATGCAGGAGAGACGCCAAAATAGCTAGGGCTTTGCTCGATGAACTGTCAACACTGGCATAAGCTGTAATTGTGCTCACTGTCCACACCAGAGCTTGGGATTTTTCTCAGTCTGTTGGTCACGTACATGGAGAGCTGACCAAAACTAATTTTGTAAAATAAACATAAGCTGCACATTTGGTTCAATACTTACATCTATGTTATGCTTCTGTGCAAAGCAATTGCTCTCAGAAGTCTGATAGCCAAAGAAATGTCTAAAGATTTCAGTCAAATACACACATAGCATGCACACCCATACACACACACACACATACACACACACACAGAAAACAGACCAAAAAGAAAGGATAGTGACTGGATCATTAAAGGCCATCGTGTATCTTATAAATCCCATCTTCTCTAACTACTTTCATTCCAACAGAAATGGCAGACTTTTTTCAGCGTGGGGATTCATTGCGCTGGGATGTATAAATGGAGCAGAAAGTTGGCCGACAAATTTGAGCGACTGGAATGGGGGCTGGGTTTCTGAGGGAAACGAAGTTTTAAAAAAGGAAGTGCCTCCGCTAAAAGGGAAAAGTTAAAGTGGCTTATCTAACACATCAGAACCACCTTCACATAAGAACTAGGGGACTATTTCATTTTTTCAAAGTAACTTACTCTAAAGATCTATGGACCGAAATAACCTAATAAGTCAGAAGGAAAAACTGAGAGGTGAGGGCAGCTGTGCCAGGTGAGCACCTGCAACCTGCAGGTGATGTTTTCTCCAGGTATAGGTAAAAGGTGTTCAGTTAAAGGAGTAAGCAAAGAGAGTCATTAATTTGCCAGCTGTTGAAATGTAAATATTCCTATTTCGTTAATAAGCACGGTCATGTACTATCTAGAAGTAAATTGTGAATAAAAAAAGAAAACCGCCACCTCAAGGTGCACAACTGATAAGAAATCTTCCCATAACTCACTCCCTCCTCATAGGTATTTGAGTTTCTTCTTCCCAAGGACCCCTTGCTGGTTGTGTAAATGCAGTGGTACAATCCTACTGCCCACCCCCTCCCCCTTCCCAGATGATCCAGGAGACCACCAGCAAGGATATTCTAAGACAAACCTTGGAAGTGGAACCATTTTGCCAATCTGATGCTAATTGGACCAGAGCTAACCTTCAGTGCCAAGGACACCATGGTATCCTTTTCACCACCTCAAAAACTGCACAAATACCAACAACCCAGATACCCAAAAATGCATTGATTAAACAGATTTTGTATTCTCCTAGGACCTGCTCCAAATTCCATCAAGAAAAGCTCCCCAAGAAGAGAAGTTAACAAGATAACATATGATGGATGCTAAATGATTAAACATGTGCCAGCAGCAGTTACATAAAGGCCTGCTCAGTTTGGAGATCTGTAATTGGGAGGGTATAACTAGGACAGAGAAAATATAAAATAAAAGTAATCTTCCTGAGTGGAATAAAAACGAAATATATTCATCCCACAGTCGTAAAACCATTCATGTGCAGTGATTTTTTTTATAGTTTTATAATTTTGTATTGTTTTATAAATTATTTATAAGGTATTGTAATGCTTCTTATATTAATTTTTTACAGATAAATTTTTTGCTACAAGGCATACAAAGGTGCCTGAATGGATTCTTAGGAATATAAATTATACTGGGAAACTCATAAGTCTTCAGACCACACCTAATGCTTAATTTTATTATGACATTTCCTGTTTCCACCTGTGAACAACTTCACATGCCAATAGCAATTTAGTATCTTTTGTGTTTCCATGAAATGAAGATGGAGGTTGTTACTAACAAAAATTAAAAGCCGCTTCTTGGCATATGTGATTGTATTTCAAGCTTCAATATTTTTCTTACATATTTTTAAAATTTTGTTGTCTTCATTTTCTTCATTGGATGAAGGAGAAAAAATGACTAATATTATATTTTACACTTGTTTCTGGGGGCTCTTTTTCATTTTTCAATCCAGAAAAGTTTTTATTTGCATTGCAGTGTTTTGGTTTCTTTATGTTGTACTCCCACAATGCACACGCACACACACACACTCATGCACATACACACACACCACAAAAGTGAGAACACAAAAGCAAAAGGAGCTAGGAAAAAAACGAACAAACAAGTAGAGGTGTATCAAAGAACTCAAGCTATAACCAAAAAGAAAAATATATAATGCCTTTGCTCATCTTCTCTACGCTGGACCAAAGCTCAATATTTGTAGGTATATGCACATTGTATAGATATGGCTAAATGTTGCTGACAATCTCGCAATACTAAACTGTTCCTATTTTAAGAAAAAAAAAAAGAAATACAAACTGTTCATCAGTGTTTTACCTCAGCACTCTACTTGTACCCAGCTAATGACCAAGCTTAAAAAAATGGAGAAAAAAGAAATTGATTTTCATTTCAATGTTTGACTGTAAAATCTGTTTGGAGAACATTTTGTAATGAGCTTTTTGTCATGTGATTTGCTTGTCTTCAACTTGAAATTATGTGAGGCACATTTGTTTATTTGTTGTTAAGAAAGTGATTTTATTTTGTCCTACGTGCTGTGATCTAGACTGGTCACGAGGGTCCACTGAGGAGGCACCGAAACATACCTGCTTCTCCATGAATGGAGTAAGCAGAAGGAAGGAGGGCAGGACAACAGACTGGGTTGTTTTGAAAAAATCATCATGACAAGAAGTTGACATGATGGACTTGTGACCAAGAAGCCAAACTGGATATTTAAAAGCTCCTTACTTGCTCTGACATTGAAACCAAAGCTGATTTATCTGCACAGGTTGTTTGACATTTAAAAAAAAAAAAACAAAACAAAACAAAAAAAAAACTGTACTTAATCTAGAGCAATACCTGTATGGTCAGTAAAGCTGCACTTTGTGTATTTCTTAACAGCTTCAGATCTGTCACTTTTAATTTGTACCATAAAAAATAAAGAATTGTTTGACATGAGCTTTTAGGCTAAGTGTGTCTTGCACTCAGATATGAGATTTAAATAGTAAGCATGTAATTATTTAGTATTTAGCATACTAAAGTAAGCATGTTATAATTCCAGACATTAAGAGGTTCAAGATAGACTGGTTAATACTAGGATTATCTTAACTTTTCAAATGGAATACTATATTAATTAGGACTCCCTTGGTTGCAAGTTACAGAAGTCCAAGCCAAATTTCTTAAACAAGGAGACTATGCTGGAAAGTCCTGTTGTGGACTTCAAGCACAGCTGGATACAGTGGCTCCAAGGATGTCATCAGTCTGTCGTGTATGGTTTCCTTCTCAGATGGAGACCCTGGATGTTGAATCACACATCTGCCTCTAAACTAAGCACTGTATTGGGATTGTGTGTTTGAATCACCACTCAGGGGCACAGATGGCTCCCTGTCTATGGCATAGGGGATGGGGCTTCATGATTACAACCCCACAGGACTACAAGGAGGAGGGAGGAAGTCTCCACCAGAACCAGAAGACAGAAGAACCACAGTAGGCAGAGACAAAACTAGGACCACAGAAGTCTACTACTAACACCCAGCTGTATACCAAGTGCCATAGAGAATTCTACTGGGAAAGAGTTTTTGCTGCTTTTAAGCAATGCCTGTAATTGTGTGTTTGCAAAATGTAAGAACTACTCTTTCTTGCTCCAAATCTGAGATGTGGAAGGAGGTGTGAGTTGATGATCTCACTTACTAATTCAAAGGAAGACAGGAGCATCTTGCTAAAAAGATCAGTAAAGTTTTTCTTTTTTTTAATTAGAATAACAGTGTACTTTTAGTGACCTTTAGCAAATATTTCTTATGCTTCATGGAGATCCATATATAAGCTTCATGTTATGATTGATCAGTAGTGCTTTGGGGTAAGTAGCAGAACCAAAAATCTCAGTGCTCATTCATTATAAATGGGCACGGGAAGTGGCCAGAAAGCTCCAAGACTGGCTGAGTTTAAGAGGAGCAAATCGTGCTGATGCTTCTGCTGTTGTGGATAGAAAAAGACAAAATGAAATCATTTTCAAGCTTTCTTTCCATCCAAATGCTCTAAAAATATTCTGGACTAATCCTGCCTGTGATTACACCTGTAATTCAGAAATATGTTTAATGTAGGAACTTTAAAAAGTCTTGTTTAAAAAGATAGACATTTCTTCCCTTGGTGGTGCAGGGGTCAAAGTCTCAGCTATCAAGCTCTCACCAGCCACTGCGGCTGGTTCAATCCCAGGCCAGGGAGCTAAAACCACATGGCATAGCAGATCTCTCCTGTCTCAGCCGCTGCTCCCCTCAACAGTGTAATTCAATAGATCCACCTGTCCTGCTCCCCACTCTGTCTCTGGTGAGTCCTCGCACACCCTTCTTCCCTATATCTCTGGCCTACACCCCAGTTCTTGTATGCATAAATAAATTTTAAAAAAAGATGGCCATCTTATAATTCAATCATTCCATAGTCCACAAATATCTGCTAAGCAATTCACATGTGCCAGAACCTTTTATATTCTGGGAACTCAGAAATAAACAAAATTAATCCTTTACCTTCAAGAAACATATTCATCATGCAAAACCCTGTATACTTCTCTAGAAATTAAAATATTTCAAATTCCAATATTTCATATGTAAATTAAATTCAGAATTAAAATGACAAGAAGTATTTCTGAGACTGACTTCAACACATTAAATAAATGGGTAGAAATAGCATCTGCTTACAAGACAATCACCAGTGTCTGTTTTAAAGGATTTCAAAAACCGTCCCAATAATAATTTTCCACTAAACCAACCATATACACATAATCTATTCAGTGGCAAGTGTAGCAGGACAATGGTTGATGAGTTTAATAAAAAATCTATGGTCAGAAAGAGTTCAGAAGCAGTCTGTCATAAAGTAGATGAAAACAATTCCTTGCAAACACACATGAGTCTAGACACCTCATTCATTGTTTTATCCTTTGAAAGGAGTCCAAACAATAGCACATCTGGCCCATTTGACTTATGCATTGAAACATGAGGAGAGCTATGGTTAGGGGAAAAGATGACATATAAGGAGGTTTTTAGCATACTGGATAAAAACTATGAAACATTGCTGCGTTTTCTTTAATCAGATTATGGACATATTTTATGCTCTTCTTTATGAACTTTCTCCATCTATTTGCAATATCCTGTTATGGCTCTATCTGTCAGCCATACAACACAGAGATCTGGAAATCATACCCATCCCTGCACACACACACATGCACACACACACACACACACACACACACACACACAAGTCACCACAAGTTACCATCTTCTTGCCTGGACTTAGATGAAATGCATCTCCTGGTCTCTTCACTCATCACATACCTGTCACCAAAGAAATCATTCTAAAAACCAAACATCAACATATTTCTCTATTATTTAAAGTCTTTCTAGTATTTACCATTGTCTTCAGAATGAATGAAAAACAAACTCCAGCACAGCACAGGATGCAATGCCTTTCTTGACATGGTCCTTGTTTACCTCTATACCCTTATCTCTCATCAGTTCTCAAGTCATAACTTTTGTATAAAAGGCTCATCAAACTTTCTAAAATTTCTCTAACATCCACTTTTGGTGCTATAATTTCTGCTCAGAATATCTACCTATTGCACTATTGATCTATTTAATTTCTATTCATTCTTTAAGACTTAATTCTGCTCAGTTCCACAAATCATTGTTGGACTACTACTATGTTCTAGGAAAAGCGCCACCTTCATCATGGTGTATTTATCAACCACCACTTACAAGTCACAAAATCACTGCCCTCAATCTCTGAATGACCAATGAATTTGGTTTATAGATAGGTATAGTTTAGCAACATATCCCTTTAATTAGCTTTCTAGGTGTCTAGATATATTACACTATTTCATTATCACTGAGTATTAAGGGCTTCAGATAATAATATAGGGCCTTCTGAACATTCCAAAGGCAAATGAGTTTAAACCAATTAAAAAGAAACAAGTAACATTGGTGAATCCTACAGATTATTTAACTAATCCCATCAGCAAATGAAGAACACGCAATGTGTGTAGAAACTACACTGGAACCTAGATAGGAGGTCTGCTTCAGAACTTTCTTTGATAGTCTCATGTTGCTTTTATGAGTTATTGTTGGTGCCTAATTGTTAAGAGCTCCTAGCTTTCCCACATGTGCTGAGATGTCATTTAGGAACAAATCCCATTTTTCTTAGTGCTTTATTTGTCCCTAAGCTCTGGTACCTGTATGGCAGCCTCTGGCTATGCTAATGGGTTACATCATTAATATAATTGGGGCATCATCTCTGAAAGTGGAGCGGTTTCTAGGATGTGAGGTTATGTGAACATGTGCGATGGGAAGAGAGCCAATATAACCACACAGATTCAGAAGTGGAATAGCTCCACAAACTGAACTTCAGTAAAAGAACAAGAATAACATTTGCACCAAACTGTAATATTAAAGCACTTTGCAGATACTCTTATTTAGATGCTGGATAAGAGCATGAAAGAGAGACATTTTTTAGATTCCTACCACATATAGGTATTACTGTTCTGGTCTCCAAATTTTGCATTCATAGCTGAACTTTGAGGCCTGCTTACATACACTACACTTCTGCAGTGAAGAAAAGTAGATTTCAGTCATGGAAACAGGTATCCTGAGAGACTGGTGACTGCAGTGGCTGACAAAGAACATCAAGGCATTCTTTTTAAGGGGAGATTCCTCACCTTTCATTAAAAGAAAGGTTTTATCTTCATATTAGTCCAAACCATATCAGTCAGTGTCTTTAATGACACTGAATACCAAGTATCAGACACCTGCGCAGAATGGCCAGCCAGTCTAGGATATAATGGCATGGGAAGATAACTTAAACCCATCAAAACCACTCTGTCATCTAATTTGACAACACATATCCAACACACACACATGTGCACACATTAAATATTCTTAATTGCCTCTTTCCAAAAACACAGCCTCACACTTACCTCCGAACACACTCCCACTCAATCATCAATGTTCAGACTCTATTTTTGCTTTGAATGGGGGTGCAGGGGTAAGTCTCCACAGACTCCTGGCTCTGCTTTAATAGGTTACAGTACAGTCTTTCAAAAAAATAATAATGTAGACTCAAGTGTTTGCCACATACGTGTTCTTTATTTCTGCTTCTAGAAATAATCAGACTCTCCAGGAGAAACAAAAAGAGGAAAAATGAATGCACCCAAACAGGGTAAGAAGAGACTATGTCTCTATTATTTCATTAACCTCTGAAGAGGACTTTGTATACGCCCAGCAGAAAGCAAGAAGTTGGAAGACACATCAATGTAGTGTTCCCTTCCCTTGACAGAGCAGAGGCCCAGCCCTGCTTCTTCTCTGCTCCCCAGTCCTTTGTTTTCCACTCCTCTTTTTTCAACTTAATTTTTCATTAATTCTCCTAAGACTGAAAGGGTGAGAAACATCCATTCAACAAGACAAGACATTCCACTTCTTCTTGCACACACTCCCTTAGCTTTCTCAGCCAGGGAACATTCCATGTTCTCATGGCATGTTTCTTCTTCCCTAGCCTTCCCTCTGAGCCCTGATCTTCCTCCATAATCAAGAGAAACCTGAGACTTGAAGAGATAATGACCATGTAACTAAGAGTAAGACAGAAATCTGTTAATGAGGCTGCCAACTTTTTCTGTGAAGTATCAGAGATAACAGATATTTTAAGTTTTGAGTGTCATGCTCTGTTGTAAAACAAAAGCACCCTTAGGCCTTCTGTACACCATTGGCAATGGCCGTGTTCCAATAAAACTTTATTAACATTAACAGACATTTGGTTTCATTTGGTCCTAAAACTGAAATCAACTCACACCTGACCCGACAGGTTAAGTTGGTCTGAGGTCCACACAGGCCCCCAGGGTTCTGATAAGTCTTTCATCAGCTTTAGGCGTGGACCATCTTTTATTCCAGCCAGAACTCCTTGGATTGTTTTCCAGTTTTCTG